CATCACAAGGTAATGCTTTAAAATAAAGAACATTATTAAAGAAAGCATCAATAGAACCAACTTCATTATTAAATGAAAAGGTAAACCCTTGTTTGTACAAAGCATGAAAGGAAATAATATTTCTTGCCATTCCTGGCGAGTAACAACACTTATTCAAATCTAAACTAAACCCACTACTTAGCGATAAAGTAAAAACTCCAATCTTGGTGACAGGTGAAGCTTTCCTATTCCCCATGATCAAGTTTATTCTTCCTTGCTCCACATTCTTACTTCTTCTTAGTCCCTGCAAGTCACAACAAATATGAATACCACAACCGGTATCAAGGACTCAAGATTTAGAATGGGGTGAGTTATTAGAAATGATAGTGTAAATACCTGCATGGTTGGGTTTGACTTTCCCATCCTTCACATCCTGCTGGTACTTTGGGCAGTTCCGCTTCCAATGAGCTTTTTCATGGCAATAGAAGCATTCAGCCTCTTTTGGGTCAGAAGAAGGAGTAATGAAACCTTTCTTGGTTCCACTTGAAGAAGAGCCATCAAGGGTCCGAGCCTTGGTACCCTTCGAAGATCTCTTTCTCTTCCTCCCTCGACTTTGCCCGATTGCCAAAACCGGAGTTGAGTTTGGAGTAGGAGTGATAGCAACCGACTTCCCCTTAAGACCTGTTTCTGCGGTCTTGAGAAGTCCCTGAAGTTTGCTGAGGGTGACCTCTTCCTTGTTCATGTGATATGTCATGCGGAATTGATCATAGCACGATGGTAAGGAGTGCAAAATGATATGTATTGCAAGCTCCTCAAGGAAGTTCACATTAAGCTTTAGCAAACGATCCACATACCTTTGCATTTTCTGCATGTGGCTCGTGACGGAATCTCCGTCCTTCATCATGGTTGTTATCATGGAGCAGATGATTTCGTACCTCTCTTGTCGTGCACTTTGATGGTATCTTTCCATCAAATCTTGGTGCATTTCATAAGGGTAGAAATCCTCATAGGACTTTTGGAGTTCTGCTGTCATTGTGGCCAACATGATGCAAGCCACCTTGGTTGCATCTCTTTCATGAGTATGAAAGTCAGCGATCTCCTGGGGAGTTGCAGTGGACTCATCAATTTCCTTAAGCTCCTTGTCAAGGACATATTCTTTGTCCTCGTAGCGGGTAATCATCCTGATGTTTCTGATCCATTCATTGAAGTTGGATCCATCAAAGGTGACTTTCCCACACAAACTCATAAGAGTAAAGGAGCCATTAGGATTCGAGCCAGAAGCATTATTTGAAGACATCTGAAAGAGAAGAACAAGTTTAGTATAGATTTAAGAGAGTCCTTAATAAAACACCCAAATGTAATATTAAGGCTAGGATCCAATCACAATATAATATAACTTAGAAGAGGTATGCTGTAATCTAAGCTATACTATATTTGAAAGGTAGGTGAATGACGATTCACCAATTTCCACCACGAAAACCGAAATATTAGATATTAGGTTTTATTGGATTTTTAGAAATTCCTAGATTCTTTGAGATTCAATGAACTTTTCAAAGGCATGTTTCAATCTCGAGAGTGCCCTCCAAGTTTTGTGACTGGGATACCGAGGATCACAAAACGAGGTGTGAAGTAACCATGCAAATCACTTGGTACCCTTAAAGTTTATCACTCAATCGATGTGCCGGTAAACCACACACGCTCCATCGATACTATAATAAACCTTAAGTCACCCTTTACCTACCTTGTTAAGTCCAAGTTAGTGTGCCGGTTAACCACACACGCTCCACCAACGACTTAGACAAAGTGTAAAGTGTAATTTCATGGATTAGCACCTTATTCACATTTTCCTAAAGTAACTAAGATTGGGAATTTAATAAAACATTTAGTTACTTTATTATATTCATCATACTTTGAATGAGAATTTATAAGTCCTTGTCTTACCCGTTCGGCTAACGACCCTCCACCAGTCAAGCAAGCGGTGGGTGAGAGTAGACACCCATTAAGTCACCATTTTATAGGCAACAACCTTATACCCACCTTATAGACCGGCTTCGTGAATGAGGCGTACTAGCGGTAAGACGACTTTATTCTTATACATATATATATATATTATTAAATCATCATAATATAAGTATAAGGGTTGAATTTTAACTTTTAAAATTCTAGGGGTTGGAACTTAAAGTTTTAACTTAACTTTACTTGTTCCAAAACTTGAGGGCAAGTTTTGTAACTTTCAAAACTTTTCATTTCTTGTAACTTATGAGTTTAATAGAGTAATAAAATGAAGACTCTTCATTTTTCTAACTCTTGTATTTGTTTTAATGGTTTTAATTCAAGTGTGACTCTTGGTTTTCCATAACTTAAGGACAAGTTATGGACTCCATTAAAACACATTATGATCAAGAATTAATCTACCACATAGGTTACAAATAATTCCTATGATCATCTAAAACATCATAAGAACAAGAACATGAATATGAACACAATCAAAAATTACATTTAAAACTTTGTAATTTTGATAACTAGTTGTTGTAAATGAATTAGCAAAGACATTACACCACCAAAAACAAGTTTTCAATTACCAAAACAGTTTAGGGTAATGTTTCTAATTCATTTCCAGCAACTAAATCGAAATTCTGCAATCAGTCGACCCTACTCGCCGAGTGCATGAACTCACTCGCCGAGTTGGTTGAAGATACTCATGAACTCGACGAGTCCCCCTATAGACTCGACGAGTCCATTCGCAGACAGCAAGATTTCCGATTCTTTTTTCAACTTTTAAGCACAAATAAGAGCAAACAAGCCTAGGCTCTGATACCACTGATGGGTTTTGAGCATTCTAACACTTCCTAAGTGTACATGCAACCCTAATAACCTTGGATCTATGTTTGTCTAATTATCATGCAAAGTTGAATTCCAAGGTTATATTCCTATCTAGCATACATGGGGAACAATTTTAACTTAAAGTATAGATAGAATAACTTACCTTGTTGTTGTTTGTGTTCCTTGAAACCTTGTGAGCCTAGCACCCCAAGTGTGATGCCTCAAATGCTTCACACAACACCAAATGCTCTTGGAAGAACTTATGAGAGAACACACACTTCTCAAAATCGGCCAAGCCCTCTTGTTTCTTAGTGTAGCCGATTTTAGGTGGAGAACATGTTTCTTATATAGTGTTGACACATCTAGGGTTACACCCTAATGTGTCATGACTTTTCATTTCCATGACCCATGGGTTTGTAACTCCCATGGAGCATCCATGGAGCATCCTATGGGTGGAACCCAACTTGATAGTCCATGGAGCCTTTTAGCCCACTATACAAGATATGGATGATTTACATAATCAACCCATATATTTAATTAGTTATCTTTTGATCACATAATTAATTCTAAATTAATTCTTGATCAAACTAATCAAATAATATTATTAATATATTAGAACTTATAATATATTAATAATCTCCAAGTGTTATTTCTCTCATTTAGTCTATCCAATTGCATGATGCCATGCAACCCAAATGGACCATGCCGGGTCGGGTCAAGTACATACCAGAAATAGTTATGGACTTAGATACCTTATCCAACAATACTTGTGTTGAGAGGGGGTAAAATAGCCTTTTTCCCTCCTGAGGGTGCCAAAGGCAAGTTGAGCCTAGTCTTGAGAATTATATTTATAAGAGTATTTACTTTATGTGAATAGGCGAAGACTAGGCAATATTCCTACCGAGTCAGAGATTTACCGAGGCGCCTGAGGTGAGTCTTCTCACTATACTTTACCTAGTATGGTAACAGAGTTATGTGATAGAGTATTTTAGAGTTATATGCCAGTGTAATTGCATGTTATTTATGTGCTATGATTTATTGTGATATGTGCTATGTATGATTCATAGTTACAGAGTTAGGACCTACGGGTCCACAGAGTTAGGACTTTCGGGTCCATAGAGTTAGGGCCAGAGGGTCCATAGAGAGTTCGGGCTGGAGGGCCCCACTGAGACACATAGACCTGAGGGTCAACAGAGTTACAGCCTCGAGTGGCTAGTATGTGTTAGAGTGGTATTTTGGGGAACTCACTAAGCATTTATGCTTACAGTGTTATGTGTTATGTGTTTCAGGTACCAGCGACGATCGCGGGAAGGCGCCGACATGATCCGTACACACGCATACCGGAGTTTATATATATATATATATATATATATATATATATATATATATATATATATTGATCTTGGGTTTTGTATTGATACAATGTTGATATAACGATTTGTTTATGTTTTTAAATGATATTTTATGGGTTACAAAAGTGAAAAATTGTTCAAATTTTTACGGTGTTACACAAGAAAGGCCATGTCATAAATAAAGATGACACACATTTTTGCTTATCATAATTTTAAATGTTTAAAAAAATATTATTTATAGATTTACTAATTTTTCATATTAAATAATACATTAAAAATCTCATAATACAAAATAAAATACCATAAATAACAAAGATAATTCATTTCACTAATATGTCAAATACAAATAATTATTCCAATAGTGAGTAAATGTTATAAAAACATGAACTGATTTATATACAATTGCATTATCTAGGTTACTATGTGCCAACAACTTCTATCTTTTTCCTTCTCTGCATAAACTTCATCAGCAACATCCTAAAAAACTTCTATCTTTTTCATCAGCAGCATCCTCAAAAACTTCTATCTTTTTCCTTCTCTGCATAAACTTTTATCTCACACTCAGTGTAGTTTTAAACATCAGGTTTAAAAAATCAAGTTTGTGAATCTCTTTTGCAACACATCAGATGTGCTTTTTCCTTGAAATTATGCTGCTACTTGAGATACTATAGAAAGGAAATGTGATTTGGATAAGAGAGAGAGAGAGAGAGATTGATAGATAGATAGATAGATAGATAGATAGATAGATAGATAGATAGATAGATAGATAGATAGATAGAGAGAGAGAGAGAAACAAGATATGAATAAAATAGTTACTTACACAGAAATGTTGACCAACATTATAATTTATACGAATGAAATTCTTTTGAAACAGGGGTCCGCATCCAAACTCACAACAGTAGCACGTCGAACCCTAGCCTGTGACATTATAGAAATATGATAAATTTCAGTAAAATGAGCAAATTATAACAAGTTATACGAGGGCATATACCTAGAAACTTGTCGATGTTGAACTCTTTGGTCAATCCAGAAAGAACCCCCGAAAGATCCCTTTATCACTTGAGGCATTTAATAATAGAAGTTGTAATTGTACACATTGAAAGATGAAGGACGTGTTTGTAATTACTGAGACTTAATTAGTTTGAATCTCTTTCCTCTTATATATAAAATATCTATAATGAGTCTAATTGCACTTGATGAAAAGCCAAGGGAAAAAGAGTCTTTAAAGCAAAGAATTCATGAGAGGTCCTAAGTAGCAGGGGCAAAAGGTTCTTTAATCTAATTACTTCATGCCATCTTTATGGAACCAAACAGCAACATTAGCAACATTAGCAACGACCAAAGAAAACACTCATTAGCACTACTAGTTTGAAAGTGCAACTTGTAATGGGTAATCACAGCTGGACCAATATGAAAATTTCACAAAGTGGATTTGGGGTAATAACAAAACCCAAGAATATGTTGTAACTTTAAACCTTACACAGACTGTACATGCAGGTTATGGCTTTTTACCACTTACACACACAAAAAGAGTTGAACCCACACAAAGACCCACCCCTAGCCTAACGGATTGTAATTTACTTTCATTTATTTGTTTATAATAGCATTCTACTTTCATTTCTTACTACAGGATTGTAATTTTATAATTTTTACCCAAATAACAATGTCCTCAAAATACAAAGAAATTTTCATTACTATAATTGGGTAGACTTTAAGAAGTATATTATCCTAATAAAAAATTAGCCATTATTTTTTTGAAATTTTGAGAAAGCAAATACTCTTAATGGGTTATCCCCCCCCCCCCCCCCCAAAAAAAAAAAAAAAAAAAAAAAAAAAACACATCAATTAACGTATTAAGACACTATCCATTTACATGTTTTGCCCTTTTTTTTTATCTTCCCAACAATTTATCCAGACAGACATCATTACCCATTCATACAGAATAGAGCTTAAGTGTACCTCATTATGTAGTGCAGAAAAAGAAGATCCTCGGTTATGAGGTTCAACTGCAAGGAGAGAATCCAAAAGCATTAAAGCGGATGGAGGGAAATCCTTGAGTGTCTCACACACACACCATTTGTAAGGCTGTTGTGGTTTAAAAATAGTGGCATGAGGCAACATTGATTTTCTCAAGTACTCTTCAGATGGTGAACCACAAAGTTTAAAAATTTTGTGTAGTTGCTCCAGCTGTGAATAATTATTAATACAAATGAGTAATAAGAAAAATATGAAATAGAGGGAAAAATAGTCATTCTAGATGCAATTAATCACGGTGTCGGTTTCAGTAACTAAAAAGGTGACAAAATCATACAAATGGGATTAGACTTGAAGTTTATGTTTAAGCCAAAAAAACTAGCTTAATACATACAAACATTATTTGTTACATTTTTTCCTTTCTATCCGGTAACCATTCCTTATGGATTTGGACTTGAAGCATATGGTTAGACATTTGGAACTTTGTTTTATTTAAAAAAGAATACTCATAAAATAAAAACTAATTGTAAATCTATACTTTCACAGGTAAGAATACTATGAGATTTACAGTTTTGATTAAGTTCAAATTTGTGAAATTGGTTAAGGTTTTCTATTACATTTTTTAGCTTTACGTTTACATATTTGATTTGATGAGGTCCGGATTAGTTTGATAATTGGTATAGAGTATAAAGTATAAACTATGAAATTGGATTGAGTTGTTTAATAAGATATAAACTAAGAAATGGGTTTGATTTGTTTGACAATTTGTCATTTCCCAATAGAAGGGTAAAATGATCATTTACTCAGATTCAGACAGTCTATTCAGTCTAGAAAAGAAACAATCTTTATGTATACAACATTATATCATTACCCATTAAGCCACTTTATCCATACAAGGCTTAATGGTTTATATAAAGTACCTCTATTCTTCCAGGCATTATAGACTTGCCAGCAAAAAGTTCAGCAAGGATGCAACCAGCACTCCACAAATCAACATCTACTCCATAATCAGTAGCACCTAATAAAAGCTCAGGAGGCCGATACCACAAAGTAACAACTCTACTTCCAGGCATTATAGGTTTTCCAGAAAGTCCTTATTCTTTATACCATGGGCTTAACCTGGAAAAGACATGATTTTTAGAATAGGGGATAAAAAAGGTATACAATCTCAATGTAACCCCGAACAAAAGAAATGTCTTTTTCTCTAATGAAAGCTCACTTTTGAAGCTCTTAAAAGTAATTTTAGTGAAGATCTATTACCCACATCTTGCTTGATTTTTGCTACAGGTAACGAAGGAGCATACTTGGGGACGAAACAACTCAAAGTTGTGTTCTCCTCATTATAAGTCTTTTTCATAGTTTTTGTTAAAACAAACATCATCAGACAATAGTGCTAATAAACAAGAAGCAAACATTAAGAGGAAACATGAATAAGTTGATAGTGATATGAATGAAGGTAAGAGACATTGAGATCCTCACCTGATGTTAATCTGGTAATAGGGATGTTTAAAGTTTATTAAAGACAATTTATGCTTAAATTTCATGGAATGAATACAGTTGACATGGTTTTTTTAGAGAAATAGTAGGAAGAATAGAATTAAGTGTAACAACACTACAAATAATTAGCAGACATCATCATATAGTTCAACAATACATAAAAGGTTTGTGAAATGAATACATTCACCTAGTTTTGTACGTGTTGTTCAAGTACAACTTACAAAATTTGTAACTATAAACAAAAAGAAGCATGATATCGTCAGATGAGGCTTCTAGTTTCATTGAAGAATTTGATCGAACACTTAGTTTTCGTCAAAAAACAAAGGTAATAGTTGTAGTATAACTCTATACTACTTTTCCAAATGAGTATATTCGAAGAAAATTACAAGAAATTAGAAGAAATTAGGTTAAAAATGAAACTCAAAAAACTTCTCACCAATAATAATTAACATTAAAAATCTGAATATTCAAGAACAGAGTAGATACAAACCTTAATGTGTGTCAATGGTGAACTTCATTGGCTAGAGAAGGCAAAAGGACAGAACGATGCACAAAGCTGTGGCACACGGTGGAGAGAGGAGTAGATAAGAATTGGACTTCATTTTAGGTTTGAAAAGATACTTACGGTTGAATTTTTAGAAGATAATGAAAGTTTCTACATCTACATTGAGTGAAAGCAAACTAAAGCGGGAAATGAAAATTTGATAGAAACGGGAATGAAATTTTAGCAAGTAGCGGGAATGAAAATTTTTGTGCCATTAAAAACTTAATATAGTGGCACAAAATTTTTGTGCCATTAAAAGTTTGTGCCACTATATGTAAATTTATTTGTAGTGCAAGAGGTTTGCCTTTGAATTTCGAGAGGCTCACAGTTTTACCGTCTTGATCTTTAAGTGTGAACGATGGAAGAATAGACCCTTTGTTTACCTACAATTGCAAACACGGAGACATAGAGGTGTTAGATATTGAAGTAAACATATGATTGAGAAATCAGTGAAATGTACCTTAGCATAAACAATGGGAGATGATCTCTATCCCACAGTGAAGAAGGCGTGCGACCAAACCACCAGCATCGATTAATCCTAATTTTGAGAACAACAAACCATTAAATTAGAAAATTCCAACCCTAATACCCCATAAAATTGATTTCTTAGATAGAACCTGCAATTATTTATAGTGAGAAGGAGATGAAAAGCAAGAACGATAGGATAGAATACGAAGTGAGGAAGAAGAGGGTTATAGGGTCGTAAGAGTCAAGAATCATTGCCAATCGAACGATCGGTGGAGTAAAAGGGGATGAAAGAGTGGAAATTAGCTTTGGGGGGAACGCCAGAGGAAAACCCACCGTGAAGTCTTCTACCTCAGCGTAAGGTCACAGCTTGGAAGCCAAGCTTCACCACGATATCGTTGGTCGATTTGTAACGAGGAAGGCCTGACGTCGCCGGAGGAGAAGTGACCAAAGGCGAAGCAAGGTGAATCGTCCATTGTTTCAGAGCTAAGAGAGATGCGAGAGTGTTTTTGTTCTTGAAAAAAGCCCTAGCTAAAATGGTCACAGCGATTTTGTGGAATTTAGTATTTGGTGATGTTTTGGGATTTTGTTGTGCGAGAAAATAGGAGTGTTTATGATATTAGGGTTTTTTCGGTATTGATCAGTGAGGTGAGGGAAGAATGATGGAAATAATGCAGAGGATGAACGAGATGTTTGATGATACTGAAGATGAAGATAAGGGACCTAGGGCTTTTTCTTGCTAAGTAGAAGAGGTGGGGGGATTAATTTTTGGGATTCAGTAGGCGGGTGTAATTTTCATCGATTTCATTTCCCTCCTAAAACGCGTGTTTCACTTAAAAATTATAAAGCGACACATTTATACGACGCACATTTTATGAAAGGCGCCCTCCGCATTTTTTTTTTCTTTTCAGACACTAATTTTAGGGCGGGCACAAATGCGTGCCCTCTATCCTTCAAATTTTGCAAAACTGACATTATCTTTTAGGGCACTTGCAAATGCGCGTCGTCTATCAGCGAGTGTCATTGTTTGCACGTCATTAAAGGGCTGTTTTCTTGTAGTGAGTGTTACTTTTTTATTTGCTACAATAGACAAAAACTATTTTGTGGCATATAATTTGTGCCACTAAAAACTCATGCAATTCTAAAACTGATCCTACTTTTAGTGGCACTTTTTTATTTGTCTCAATATAATAAAATATTTTGTCGTATATATTTTTAACTGTTCATTACACATGATTCTAGAATTCATGCTACTTATAGCAACACATTTTTTCATTATAATATTAAATAATAAACAAATTTAATTTTAGTCCATGGAAAATAATAATAATTTCATTGTGTTTCATTAATATTTTGAACCATTTCAAACAAAAATATAAATAAACGTCAAATAAATATAAAGGTGCACATGAACAAAGGGAAATCCATATACAGTTTAATCATCATCAAGACTTCTTATAACATGTACAAATCATCATCAAGACTTCTTATAACCTGTACAAAAATGTAATGATCAATAAATATGGTTATATTTAAATAAATTATTTTAATAAGATTTATATATTGGCAATGAAAACAAAGTTATATAACTAAAAAGACTTTACCTCCTTTTATAGCAAGAAGATGAACAACTTGAGGCCTAATGTTGCCATTGATCAAGGTTGATGTTATAACCACATTTACTAATTTTCTTTAAGAAAAAACATCATAAATGGTCCCTACGTTTTCCCAGATTCTGAAGGTTAGAAATTTCTTCAGGAAAGAGTAGTTCCATAAAAGTTAGAGTGACAATGGAAGCATCTCTAGACATGAATTCTCTTTCAACAGAAGTAAGAGGTGTAGCATCAACATTTGGAGTATCATTTTGAACTGGAGACTCTGGACGACTAAGTGAAACAGATGACTCCCCCTCAGGTGAAGCAGAGGATACCGTTTGAGGTCTGTAAATAACTTCTTCGTCTTCGTCTTCGGAAACAATCTTCGAGCCAGAGGAAGAACCATACGAACCATCTGAAGACACATTAATGGACTTGAAGAGTGATGTGTAATCAAATAACCAATTAGGGACCACTCGAGCATCCGTTACATTCTTCTCCAACCAGCACACATCATAGGATTCCATAGTTTGCTTTGTCTTCTTGTTGTAGACCCTATATGCGGTGTGTGCAACATACCGTACGAAATAACAATCATCGGCTTTGGCATTAAACTTTGGGTTGGACTCCAGGTGAAGAAGGGTGCAAGGGCAGCCAAATACGTAGAAATGACTGCCTGAAGGCTTGTGACCATATAAAATCTCATACGGTGTCTTTATCTGAGCTTTGTTAATCAACTCACGATTCTGAACGTAGCAAGCAGTGTTAATCGCCTCAGCCCAAAAGAAAACGGGTAAATTGGAGTGACACAACATCGTCCTTGCTGCGTCTTTTAAAGTTCTATTTCTCCTTTCAGCAACACCATTTTGTTAAGGTGTGTAAGCAGAGTTGTATTGACGCATGATCCCCTTTTATGTGCAAAAGAGATCAAGAACAGAGTTCTTGAATTCTGTTCCATTATCAGTGTGAAGCGCCTACACCCAGTTGTTGGTTTGGTTCTCAATCAACATAATTAATTTCTTTAACTCGGGAGCAAAATTGACATTCTCAAAGCTTAGCATTCCATTTGTAACGATTCCTCTTTGAGTGATCTTGCCACCTTCTCCCCCCGCGAAGGAAACATATCCCCCATTATAATATTGAATGTTGCTCAATTAGGAGATGTCTCCTATCATATGCCGGGAGCAGCTGCTGTCGACGTACCAAGGTCTGACGACATTCCTCTGCAACTGTCCCTGCAATATGAGTAGGATCATTTAGATTTTGGAACCCAGGTCATCACTTTACCGGGTTGGCCGTTCACTTTCTCAGATTTATCATCATTTACAACCTTTTAAGAGGATGCTGATGATTGATAGGAAGTTATTTTGGGCATGCATTGATAATTAGGTTTTATAACAGTCACAAATGGTTGTGAAATATGTTTCTTATCTGTTTGCATTGAGCATCTGGATTTTCTACCTGAATTGGTTGAAGATCCAGAATTGCTATTTAACGAAACCGATCTTGGAGAAACCGTGTTCGATTTTGGCAAACTGTTTGGGACTTTGTTATGAAGAACCTTTTTATTCATTTGAAAAACTGCCCTTTTCTACTTCGATCATCATTTCAATCAACATCCCAAGAACAAATTCTTGAGGACTTTCTAGTTAAAGACCTTCCTCTAGATTTGTTCTCTCCTCTTGGTGACGTATAGTGTACAAAAATTCTATTTGGACAATTCCCAACTATATGACCACCAATACCACAATTAAAACAAATCTGTTTGTTATTATTAAAATTTGTACTGCCTTTTTCATATTTATTTTCCATACCGATACCCTTGCTTTTCCCACAAGAACATGAACATGAAGCAGGTTGTGAGATAAGTGAGGGTGTATCAAATGGTGTGACTAGTGGAAGTGGTGTGTTTTCATTAGGATCATTACAAACATCAGAATTATCAAATAGCTCATCAAATACTTCAAAAAAACTTAATCCAGGTTCAACATGTGCAGAAATATCACAAAAAACATTGTCATTTTTAACATCAGAAATAACAAAATCTTTATTTGGAACAAAAACATTAGGTTTGGACTCAGTTTTGTTATCATAAATAGATCCTTCAGTTTCATGCTTTGACTGATCTAAGGATTGATCTGCAGGGGAAGTAGAAACGTTAGAACTTTCAACATTAATAACTCCTCCTGAAACAAAACAAGTTGGTTTGCCATAAACCATGAAAGATACTTTGGCAATCTCCTCATCAGTGACATGGTGATACTGGTAATTAATATTGAATTGAGGAGACACTTTATCGTATCCTAAACCCTTTTTCAGGTTTTGTTTGAACTGCAGGCAATGGTCAATCATGTTGGCAACTACGTCGCTTGATACAACATATTTTTTTAAATCAAATTTGCAGTGTCAAATTTGTTTTTTAATGTATCAAGCTCAGTAATTAACTCAACATTTTGTCTCTTGACATAATCATAGTTTTCATATTTATTACTGTAGTCTTCCTAAAGTCTCCTAAAATCCTTTATCTTTGCCTCTAACTAGGCCTTTAGGGGTTTTTGTCCTTTTCTAAGTTGGTAGCCCTCATATCTAAGGTCCTCTACTTCTCTATGTAAAGATTCTATTTCGTCACGAAGAATTTTAACATAGTCAATATATGCTTGAGAACAGGAAGGTAAACTTACCTTATTTTTCTTCGGTTCAAAAGTAGAAGATACCATCAGCGCAAATTGCAGCTCCATCATCATTTCTTCAGCTGCAACACTCTCCATAGAAGGAGATTTCTCTAATGAAACTTCACAAGCTAAACAAGGTACTCTAGTTGCTATTTCTGTCAAACCTATTACCAATACTTTTGTCTCTTTACCTTCATATATCATCCCTATCACTTCCACTACTGAGTCACCCACATTTGAAAACATCATCAATCATCCTTTTACTACTCTTTTTTATTCATAATCAATTGACCTACCACAACATATGGAAGAATCTGAGGAAGAAGGAGGTTTTGGAGGTACATTCGAAGAGTTGGAATTTGATGATGAAGAGGAGAATTTTCCTTACTATATGCTTATGTCCATGAAACAATTCAAGATACCGAATAAAAAGCTCAATTCTATAATTCAATCTCAAGCAGATATAAGAGGAAGCAGTCCTGTCTCGGGAATGGCAATTGATGGTTTATTGAAAACAGTTGAAGCTCGGCTAGTGAGAAAAATGTATGGGATGATAAAAGATTCGGAATCTAGAATCTTAGAGAAATTGGATCACAATGATCAAAATTCAGAGTTACGAGTGAATCCTCTTGATAGAAAGTTTGTAGGTACAGTAAAAGATTTGAAGATTGTAACCAAATAAAGACATACATTGTTTGTCCTGGATGTGAAGAAGGTTCGTGAAGATGTTAATTTCAAGCTCCAAGAACTTCGTGAGGAAATGACTAAGGAGATTACAGTGGTTCATAAAGACTATTCTTCGTTAAATCAGAAAGTTGATATCATAGCTGATGTTGCAACGAAGTTTGTGTCGTTATATGAAGCAATGAGTGCTCAGCTTTTGAATTTGTGAACTCAAGAAATGAAAAATCTAACTGAGCTTTCTTCTCAGTTAACAGAGTTAAAAGGTTTGATCACGAAGTCCAATTCTTCCTCACTCATTACTCCTGAGTTTTTATCGCAAAAGTTTACTCACTTTGAGGCAATTCTTCAAAATCAATTAGCTCCTCTGTCCAAGATTTTGACTTTATTACCAACAAATGCCCCACCTGTTTTTACAGGGGTGCAAGGGGGAGAAATGAAGGTTGGTGGTGTGAAGGATGGTGGTGAAGCTTCGCATGAGGATGCTAAGGTTGTTGGGAAGGTTTATTCTTCGAAACTTTCAACAAC